GACATCCATATTTAGCAGGCATGGCCTGGATGAAGACCCAGCAGAAGAAATTAAGGAGGAGTGGTCATATAGATAAAGAATCAGGAGAGAGCAGTGTCATGAAAACCTAGAGAGAAGAAAGTATTAAGGAACAGAGGAAAGATAGTATCAAATGCTGCAGAGAGGTCAAGGAAAGGATGAGGATTGAGAAAAAGGCCATTCACTTTGATAATTAAGAGATTATCAGCACTTTGGAGAGAGCAGTTTCACAGGCTTAGGATTAGTCTAAAATGAGAAACTGGTAAATCACCTAACATTTAACAATAAGAAAGTTACTCCTTGCCCTTAGGAAAGTTGTAGCTCTGCTTCAGATAGACAGATTGCTTTATCGCCATAGAGAAACACAACTGATCAAAGGCTGCGATGACATGCATGGCAGTGGGACTTCCATTAGGTCTGAGGGGCTTCAGCTCCTTATGACTGGTTTTTACACCATAGATGTCTGGGATGGCTTCCATGTCATTTAGAGAAAAATTAACCCATCCTCTATGGCAAGGACTCTAGGAGCTAGTGCTCCTATCATGCCATCCCCAACCCAATAGGGCAGGGCTGTACAACATACAGCCCACCAAAGCAGCCTGCAGTAAGCATGTTGTGTAGGGATGTTTTACATCCTCTACATTTTTTGAGGGCCGCGAACAGCCTAGTACACAAAAAGACAATCTTCCTTTCCTGCTCACCATGCTGCTGCTATTATCATTCTGCCAGTCCAACAACCTACTTTAGATCCAAACTGGGGCAGATGATGAAGGATCCAGGAGCTGGGATATGAAATTATTCAGTGCATTCCACTAAAATTGGTTCAAGATACTGCATAGTCAATATATCTATTTATACTTCATAATCTCTTATCTCCTAAGCCTCCAGAAGTGACAGAGAAACAAAGCTTTGATGATAACAGTTATTATAGAAAATATGGCATAAGAGGAAGAGGTTTGATTTTTTTTCCCCAAGGAAAGAAAGAACCATACAAACCTCAAGAATACTGAAGGGTTCAAAAATAATTCAACTCAACCTCCAGGAAGAAGGAGGTAGAAAAGGAGTCCAGTTGGCTGATAAACAATGATATGACAGGGACTCAGGCTAGGCTTCTGAAATAACTGAAAAACAGTGGCAAGGATTGTGGAAGTAAAACAAGGGTAAAAAGCTACTTCAACAAACATTTATTAATTTCTTACTGTATACAAGCACGGTGCTAGACACTAGTAGAGACAGAAGGTTTGGAAAAGACCCTCAGCTTCATGGAGCTACAATTCAGCAGAGGTATCAGATTCATTCAGTCAAGCAAACATTAGAGTGCCTACTTACAGAAGAGATGACATGCACATATATCAGTATATAGAAAAAAGGCAAAAGGTCATCTTACAGTAGGAGTGAAGCACTAGCATCTGGAGAGACCAGGAAAGGCCTCATGCAAAAGATGGCACAGATAATACTTGTAAAAGTCCAGATGTAGTGTGCACTAGAAAGACACAGAAACCTGATTCTGTGAGAAAAGAAAAGAGTTTCGGTTCTCACATGTGGTGAATGCCTCTCACTCTCAAGAGTCAATGAAAAAAGAAGCATACATCTCTCATTTCTCCAAAAAAATAGTCTTTACTCCATCCAGGCTTTGTATATGTGTGTCATCTATTACCCCACTATTCTCTTACTCCTTTCCCTATATCCCCTGTAAACCTCATTTCTCCCACCTCCTGTCTCAGTATTTGACCTACTTCTGATTGCTTTTGACAGCCTCCCTACTCTTAACTCCTAATCAGTCTAGCATGAATCCACTTCCTTCTTGTGACTATAAAATACCACTCCCCACCCCCCATCTCTATCATCCTCACTCGTCAGAATCAAATCTAACATCAGGATCTATACTGTCCCTCATCTGCTTCCTTCCTTTCCATTCTCATTACCCCCACCCAAGACTTTCTTTACCTCTCTTCTGGTCTAATATTTTAGCTTCCTAATTGGTCTTCCTGCCTCCAGTCTCACTCTTTCTGCCCTGAAGCCTCCCATTGTTTGTTTGGCTTTGTTTTTCATTGCCTCCCAAATGAAGTGCAAACCCTAGATTCTCCATCTACAAAATTAAGAGGTTGAATTAGATGATTTCTGAATGTCCTTCCAGATCTAAGTCCTCTGATCCTTAGCCTGGAATTCTTGGCTCCCTACGTCTAGCACCAACCCACCTCTCTATCCTTTTTCCATCATTGCCTTCTTCACACACTGCACTGTAACCAAACTGTACTATGCAGACTTAGTCTCCTCCCTGCCCTCTCCTGCCTCCCTATCTTTGCCCATGCCATCCCCCAAACCTAGAAAGAATCTGTAGCAAATCTCCACCTTTTAAAATCCTCATCCTTTACAGGTACCACCTCCGTTAAACTGTCCCTGATTCTCCCTCCTTTCCCCACCCCCTCTGCCCTGATTCCTTTGACCTCTCCAATAACTCTGATCATATTCTAACCTGCATCATAGTTATTTGTATATGATACAATTATTTGCATGTGATAATTCCCCACCATCATATTGTATCTTCTTTGTATCTCCAATGCTATAGAAATGCTTTCTTTGTTCATCCCATTTTGTCTTTCCTATTATCTCCCACCAAACAGCTGCTATAGACACAAGAGCTTTCTCTGTAGCACCCACCATTTATACTAACTTAATGCTGTCCTCTCTACCTGAATTTTTGTTTTCCTAATTTCATCTCTCAACCTTTCTGCTTATTCTATATATGCTTATGTCATTTAAAAAAACATTCGCATAACGTGTGGTTAATAATGCAGTGTATTTTAGGGTGTATTTTGCCTAAAGGGGAAGGCAAGGCTAAAAACTGCATTTTGTGTGCCTAAGAATAGCAACATTCATCCTGTACTTGTGCAGTTAGGAAAGTGTCTTAATTATGGTTGTGTGTTGATTGTGTGTTGATTTCCTCTGCCTCTTGCCCCATGAATTTGGGCCATATTCTAATTCTCATTAAGACCTCTTCTTTGGTGCCTTAAAAAGACCCAGTAAGCTATTTTGAATAGGAATTACATTTGAATAGGAATGCAACCATTTTTTTTAACCATTAGTACATAGGCTACATTCCTAGAAGAGCAAAGCTGAAAGCAGTCTCAGTCAGGAGACTGGGTAACTTTTTATGGGAATACCTCCAAGTGACAAGCTTTCGAAATGAGCCATTCATAGCTAATTATGCCTGGTGTGTATATATATACATATATATATATATATATATATATATATATATATATATGTAAGTGATATTGAAGGTTATACTATATATATATATATATATATATATATATAGTATAACCTTCAATATCACTTATATATATATATATGTAAGTGATATTGAAGGTTATACTATATATATATATATATGTATATATATACGCACACACACACACACATACTTATACTATATATATATAGTGTAACCTTCAATACCACTTATATTTTATATGTAGATTTTAACCAAAAAATCAAAAGAAGTTATTGAATATGCAGAAGATCAGAGTACTCTTGAGTGTCAGAAGGAAAAGGAATATTGTCCCTGCCCTAAGGGGGCTTGTAGTCTAATCTGAACTCAGCACAGCCATCATAGGGAGATTCAAGCTTAAAGATTGGAATTACTTTCCTCTATGAATTGGACCTGCCTTTTCTTATTGAAACCTTTCAGAGTGTCGAACATCACTACGCTTTCCTGTCAACATAGTGAGAAACATTCAGATTTAAATTTTCAGGCTTAGATTTGTACAGTTGGTATTAAGGGCCTTCTCAGCCAGTAGCTTGGCTATTCGTTCCTTTGTGTTAATTTACAATAAGATTAATTCTTGAATCTTCTACTAAAAAGAACTCGGCCGTGATTGTTCCCTCAAAAATGTGTTGTTCTTTGCCTGGTGAGACCATGACACCATCTTAGAAGCAAGTATCATATCCTGAGCTGTTTGTTGTCTCCTTCTGTGCTCCTTTAGTTCTGTGATGGTCCCTTGCTAATTCCCCTCCCTTTTCGGTAACCATCCAGGTCTCTACCCTCAAAGTTGTCTCTCTCCATACCATCCCCTCTTAACTGCCCTGTGCCTCTCCTTGGCATGTTAGTTTCTGTTGTGTTCTGTCAGCTTACATCCTTGTTTCAGTCCTACAGTCCAGATTCTAACAGCCTTCCCCTAGCTTTGAAAATCAAGCCTCCTTACCACAATGGAAGGCAGCTTTTAAAAGGGTCAAGAGGGGAGGAGGAGGGACTGCTATTCTCTGATCTCAGAGAATGGCACAATTTGCTGGTGAAGATTTCCCCATTTGGCCCAGCTCACAGTAGTACTAACATCAGACCCTTTGGTGCCATCAAAAATGTTCGGGTGAGGAGCAGCTAGGTGGTGCAGTGGATAGAGCACCAGCCCTGGAATCAGGAGGACCTGAGTTCAAATCTGCCTCAGACACTTGACATTTACTAGCTGTGTGACCATGGACAAGTCACTTAACCCCATTGCCTAGCCAAAAAAAAAAATGTTTGGGTGCTGCCTCTGCTGAGTTCCTTTCAGTAGGCATAGCAGACTGGATAATATTAGACTTCTCTCCTACCCTTTAGTTTTACCTCTGGCACACATTACACTGAGATCTTTTTGGATCTAGATAGATAGATAGATGACTTTGCTTGGGTTGGGCTGTTATTTCACCTGCAAAATCAGAGAACTTTCCTACATGCCAATTTGATCTGTCCCATATGCCCCTGACCCAGATAGACCCAAAAGAGCACAATCCTACCCAAGACACATGGGTACTTGAGAAATAAAAGCCCAACATTCAAGGCCTGACAGACTCTGGTTCTATAACATCCAAATTTCTAAACATTACTATAGAAGGATTAGAGACAGTTCTCTTTTCCTGCAAGTGTCTCTGTCACAGTGGAGGGAATGTGTATGTTCGTTAGGGACAAATTTTGCATTCTGTTTCCTAAGTTGTATACTCACATCAAAGAATGTTCTGGCTGATCCCCTGGTCTACTCTTGTCTGGTTTCTTTGCTGCTTTAAAAAAAAAAAAGAGAGAGAGAAAAGGAAAAAAAAATAAAGGACTTAATTCATTTGTAGACTTGTTTCCCTTGTTTCTGCTTCTCCATTTTTCGTATTTTTTCTTTTCTTCTTATTGTTCCTTTCTTTCTCACTTGTATGCTTTTTGTCCTCTGCTTGTGTTTTGTTTCACCTTTTCCCTATTCCTCTCCACTTCCAAATTCCTCTTTTTTTTCTACTTTTTCTGCACCTTGTCTTTCTCCTTTTCCTTCTCTTCCTTGTTTGGTCCTTTGAAGTTGAGCCCAGTGGCGGGACACCACGTCGTAGACCTCCCTCCTTCTGCCCTTGCTGTGTCCATGAAGGTAATGTAACGTGATACAATCCCATTCCCACTGCCGCGGAGGGGTCATAGCACCATTAGTCAACCAGTGACCCAGTTCCCAAATGTTTCTCTTTCATTCCCTTTCCCTTAAATCCCAGTAATTACTCTGTGTTGTAACTTTTTATGACTGTAGCAGTTTCTTACAAGGTACAGTATCCCTTTGACAATTTGGCAGGGAGGAATAGAATATGGGAGTAGAGACCAAGTCTTTAATTTGGGAGAACTACACTGGCTGCCCAAAAAACTTGACACCTCCATTGTTCACTGGGGCATTTGATTTCTTTGATCTTTCTGAGGAACCAGGGATACAGGTGAGAGAGTCTCCCACCTGTATGACTGTGATTTGCATTGTTGAAGTAAAGGAATACTGTGTCCTTACAAAGACTGGTTTGCATAAACAACTTTAAGGTCTTTAAAATGAAAAAAACTTCGTACCCCATGTCTTGCTGAGTGTATTTTATATTTGTCTAATTTGGAGTCTGTTGTGATAATTGTCATTGCAAAGGCATGAGGGAAGGGGAAGGGGAGAATGTGATCGTGACTAACCTTGCTAACCTCTTACTCTGCTTTCCATGGCTCTCACATTGACTTTCATCCACCCTACCTTGTCTCATTGGCTGTGAACAATCTCTACTGTAGTTCATGAGGAGTGTCCAGTTTTCACTCAGTTATTTCTTTCTGTTGGGAGGTGGGAAAGGCGACTTCTCCAGTACCCTCTCATGACTCTGCCACACTATATAGCTTGCATGCCTAAAGGTCCCATCTCCCTATGGCTATATGGGCATATTGTGCAGAGATGCCCAGAAAGGAATGCTTGGAACTGAGCAGATGGCTAGATTAAAAGCCAATAACCAAGTCTATTGGGTTGGGTGAGGAGGGCATTATTCCCCCCCAAGCATGGTCAAATGCTACATCAAGCAACGTGGATCTATAAACATGGTAGTAGCTTTAGTCTTACAGACTGGGAATCCATGATGGGACTTAACCTTGGGAGCATAGTTGCATGTACAATGGAGCAGAGCATGGACACTAACTCAAACTACTTGTGGGAATGCAATAGTAGACTTCTGCCTTTCCATACTTTAGCCACCAAGTAAAGACCTAGCTATAACATCTTTTGCGTTGAAAATGCTATGTTGCCAAAAACAAATTTGTTTTTGAATGGTATGCCAAGAACGTTAAGCATTGGGAGTATAGGAAAGCAGGAAATAGAGAAGACCATGAAGTTCAAATGTATCTTGCACCTGGAAAGAATTGGTGTTTGCCCAAGGAGGAAGGATATCTCTTTCTAAGGGAACAATGAATAATAATAGGTTAAAATGTATATTTTAGGGTTTGGCTATTGCTAGGATGACAGCGTAACTTTACTATAGAGTGAAATAACCAGCCAGGTGAGTCATAGGATAGGGATAGGGACTAGACCTGATTTCATTGGTATAGGGAACTTCCAGGTGAGGAAATTTCCCTTACCAATGCAGGTTAGAACCTCCTCTGCAACTTAGAAGAGTTGCCTAGAGCACTGAGAAGTTAAGTGATTCACCCAGAGTCACATAGCCAGTAAGGGTCTAAGGCAGGACTTGTACCAAGTCTTCCTGGTTTCAGGCCAGTTCTGTTCACTATATCACAATGCCTACTGAATCATAGAATGGAAGAAATCTTGAGAGGCCTCAGACCAGACTATACTTAATGCTGACCTAAACATAAGAATCCATGTTGCTTAAGAACTTCAAAGGAAATAATTCTGAAGTTTTAGGTGAGCCCAGTTCCAGTGTTTAAGAAGCCTGGTGTGTCAACTCTTTGCCACTCTTTATGTACACCTGTGGTCTGAAGTGCTTCTGTGTTAGAAAATCCTACCTTAGAATTCTTCAACTACCATTTAAACCCATTAAAATCAGAGGTTTAACTGAGTAAGATCTATCCTGGCTGTTGTGTATTAAAGACAGATTAATTTCATTCTCAAATAGAAAGTCTGAAAACTGGACTTTGAATTGGATCGTGGAAGGTCTTTTCTCCCATCTCTAATGTCTGCCAGAGGTTCCGTGCTCTTTGTGATAGTACTGCTAAGACACTAGCCAAACCAGGGCAGGCAGAGTACCCTATGGGAGGGAGAGGTTGGTAAAACAATCAGCAGCAAACCAGGTTAAAAATAATCCTGTGCAAGAAAAGGCATCTTACCATATTAGGTTATCAGTGTATGTGACTCAAAAAGATAGGCAAGGTGGGGAAGATTTGGGGGTTTTTTGTTTTGTTTTGTTTTAGAAGCAACCAAAGAGAAAACTCTTGAGCTGGGTTAGGACCAGTAGAGGGAGAGGCACAAATAAGTCTGAGTCAAGGATAAGTTGGTGGTCAGAAGGTCTATCAAGTGGAAATGAAAGAGTATGGATAAAACGAACCCGTCAGAGATTGGTTGAAGGGGTGAGTGGTGGGCTCAGAGTGTTTCTGCAGTTCTCTTCTCATCCCGTGTGTTGTAGGTAAACTTAACAGATCTGGCTTGGAAGTGTTCCAGCAGCTCTTGCTTGGCTCTCTTTGCACATTGGCCCCTGTGTTGTAATTCCAACGAGCTGGGAGATGGCCGCTGATTCTCTGTGTCTTTTGACAGGCATGGGGAAGAAGGATGATCCAAAGCTGATGCAAGAGTGGTTCAAGCTGGTACAAGAGAAAAATGCCTTGGTGCGCTATGAGTCAGAGCTCATGATATTGTGAGTGACTGGGGCCTGTCCACATGGTTGGGGGGATGTAGGGGTAGAAGATCTGCTGCGGGTTAGCAACTGCCTGCAGCAGAAAGAAGAGATGCTTCCCTGTGGACATTACTGTTTTGTCTTTGTTCTTCCTGACTCACTTTTCAGCGCCCGGGAACTAGAACTAGAAGATCGGCAGAGTCGGTTACAGCAAGAGCTCCGGGAACGGATGGCTATAGAAGGTTAAAAAAAACAACTGGGTTGTTGCAGGTTGGTTCATTCTTATCCATGTCCCATATTGATACAAAGCCTTTGGCTTCCTCTGCAGATCACTTAAAGACAGATGAAGAATTATTAGAAGAGAAGAGGATTCTGAATGAGATGTTAGAGGTGGTGGAGCAGAGGGACTCTCTGGTGGCCTTGCTCGAAGAGCAGAGGCTTCGAGAAAAAGAAGAAGACAAAGATCTGGAGGCTGTCATGCTCTCCAAAGGCTTCAACATGAACTGGTCCTGAGTATCTGCTCACTCTCACTGGTTGGTCTTTCGTAGCCATTCGGCATAGGCTGGGCTCTCCAGAAACCCCTAGCTTGAGAGATCTGAGAAGGTCTGGCATTTTCTGAGGGCAGACTTTCAAGTATCCATGTGCCTCTTCAACAGTGGAATTGAGCCTCATGTGTTTTGGGGAAGACCCTGAGCTAAGTTGATCAGCTGAGGGAGTCCGGCCACCCTGGAGAACCTGGCTCAAGGGGCCCACCTGAGATAGATCCACAGGGAGAAGGAAGAGCACAGAGTGATTGACACTTATTATGGAAAACCCTTTATCCTCCCAAATGGACTACAGTTGATCCTTTTCCCATTTCCTCTACTAACCTGTTCAATTAGAGAAGGAAGTGAAGAGACTCCCTCTTTGTTGACATCACTGCTACTATGGAGTTAACTTCCTACTGGGGGGGGGGGTCTAAGTAGCCAAAGGGAACAGCATTTTTACCTATTCTTCCTATAACCCCATGAAAGAAACCTAAAAAACACACCCGACCCTGAGAACACCCAAGAGAGTAAAAGTACCATTGTCAGGCTGGGGTCGAGCCATCCATCTTGGAGGTCAGGGATGGTGGCTAAGAGTGCTGTCTAGGGAGGTCTCTGGAGTTAGCTCTACAAGTGAAGAGGGTACATAAGGGAACAACCCTACACTACACGATTTAGAGAAAGTTCATTTAGAGTGTGTGGCCCAAGCATCCCATGGCCCAAGCACTTTCCTGTGGCAAGGACCCCAGGCCGGGGGAGTGCTACCTTTCACCTTTGTTTTGAATTGCAACTATTTTGACACTGGAAAATACTGACTTTGAGGGACGGCGGGGTCAAGGTCCCAGGTTTCAGACCCCAACTGAGGGCTGCCTCAGGACAGAAAGTTATTGACACTGTTCAGTACTTTAAGTTGGGAAAGGAGAATATGTTTTCCTTAAATTTTTTTCCTGTGTTTGCACAATGAAAATGAAGCAAAGACCTGACAGGACCCTCGGTCACTTTGAACCCTTTTTTTTTTGTCAATTAACTTATTTTTTTTAATACTTGAAAAGAAGCAAGTTCGCTTTTTATATCTTTACAAGAAACACAAATCATTCAGTGCTCGAATGAGGGAGTGCCAGACATCTGTCTTACATCATTCGTCATCCAGTCGGCAACTGACTGAAGTCTTGGTTACATGCGTCTATTTATTCGTGTCGTTCATGATATTTCTAGCTTGTTATTCTGGTAGGCTTCAGGGAATAGAACACAACCCTTTTGTGACCTAGTCTTTTTCTTGTTTTATCTGAAGGCTTGTTCTGTGCCCTCTTGTGTGTCCTATCCTGGCTGAGACCTGATCTTGGTGCCAAGCCTCCTCTGACTTGGAGAATAGCGTGTCTCCAGGACCCAACTTTCCCTTTCCCCCTGTGCTTCAGATTTGCAAATGGGTAATAGTCATGTGTCAGAGAATATATTTCCATTAATATTCAAGGCAAAGCCAAGATTATGACACCAACATTCTGTCCCCTACCCCGTCCCCTCCTCCCCGCCTTGGTTTCTCTCCTATTGTGAGATCCTGGCTCTGAAAAAGCTGCTCTTCTCACATCTGACACCAAGGGTTTCTCCTACCAAAAATACACTTATAAAAGAAGGTAGTGGAGTTAACCTTTTTTATTGACTAGGTCGATTGACACTGATGCATCTTAATCCGGTGGGCAGAAGCCTCACTAAGGAGAATTCCTCATACCAAACTCGTTATAAAGAAATGCACGGGATACAGCAAGACTTTATACTAGTAGATTTGGGCAGAATTTCCAGGCAAACAGATGAATTATATTTGCTCCCCTCTTCTCCAAAATGATAGAGGGAAGCAAGCCCTACAATCCTGGAGCTGATTAGCCTCTTGCAAGCAGCAGCTTGAACCAAGCTCACTGCAGTTTGTCGGAGTTCACCCAGAAGCTAGCTTCTCAAAGTTCCCAGTTTCACTATAGCTTAGACCAACCCAGGCGTCTGATTGCTGTCACTGGGAGTATATGGTGAACTAAGGGAAGATGTCGTCTTTGCCAGACCAGGTGTACTCTGTCCAACTCTTGATTAGGCTGAGTGATGTCCATAGAGAACTAAAGCCTTGGCACCTCTCAGAAGCAACCTGTGGATAAGGCAAGAATCAGATCTGACCTTGAAATTTATGTGTGGGGGGGGTCATTTTGTGCCTCAACCATAACATCCTCCTTGGATCTCAGTTTCCTCATCTGTAAAATGAGGGGGATTGACTAGATGGCTTCTGAGATCCCTTCCAGCTCTAAAGCTATAAGCCTTTTAACAATGAAAGAGTAGATTTTATCCCTTAATCCTTTCTGTCTAAAAGCTGCCATCTTTTCCTGTGGAAATCCCCCACTGACAAGCTGCTAAGTATCACCACAAGTTCTGACTTTTATCCCTATCTCCCGTATTTCTAGTAGAGAAGTCTCCATTTTTGCTCCCTTTTCTCAAAAAGAAAGATGTTTAGTACTCCACCTTTGAGTCCCCCAGCTTTCCATGAAATGGAGACCCCCTCCCCCCACCTCATCCCCCCTGTAGTGTATTGCACACTACTCTATAACTGACTATGTGGCCTTCTCACTAATCTCACCACCCCATTGGTCAAGAGTTAAGGATCAATTCAGGATTAAATCCTAAATTACTTAAAAGGATATCACAGTGGTGGTGATGATAATGCTTCAAGTAGCCTAACGTAGCAGCTTTCTCAGATGTTACTTTTAGAATGTGAATATTCACACTACTGCATCCTATTAAATCACAGTCTGTTTGTAGTCTCAGCCAGGGGAAAGTGGTGTGCTAAACATACTATGCATATAGAAGAGGCTTAATAAATATTTATGGAATTGAATTTGCAGAAAGAACATATAAAAAAAAAATACTACAAGCCTGCAAAATGTTCCCTAGTTCTTCCAGTCAACAGTATTATGACTTCATTGTGGTCAATGACGGGAAATGTATCAATTACCTGCAAAAAGTCTATGTTTTATATTTCCTACCTTTATTCAGAGTCTTAATTACTCCTTACGAAGGAGCCTGAGCTCCTTTGAGTCCAGCCTGATATTTTTCAGGCTATAGAAGTTTTTTAAATTCCCATTTTTGTTAACCACTGTTTTGCAAATTTTCTTAGTACACTGGCAACATGAGTAGCATGAAAAGTTTCCCAGCTCTGGAAACATGTCATATTCTCCAGCTAAGCTTTCTTTCTGAGATCTTAGTTCCTGAAAAACAGGATCCCTGGTTCAACAGAAATTCCAGAATTGCTTTATAGTGAACACAAGCACAAAAAGACATAACAGCTTGGGGGTAACAGGATCCCCATTGTTTGAAGGGAAAGCTCTTTGCTTCTGAGTCTCCCAGATCACTTAGCAATATGGCTAGGTACCTCTCTTGGTTTGTGATCCTGCCCGTGCTCAAACCGGTGCCATCTCTGTGTGACAGTGCCATGAGTTTGGAATCTAGCTTTGGTACCTTGCTCCCAGACTGATTCTAACCAGCACCAATGGAACAATCATCTACTCCCATCAAACAGAAGTATTTTTGCAGTATGGTGAGAAGGGGGGAGAGTAGAAGAGGGAAGACATTGGACCTGCCTGACCAAGAAAAATGGTCCATTTTATGTGCACAATAAAAGTTTTAGAAAGAAATACATGATGTATTTTTTAGGTATTTTAGTGACTATAGTTAACCACTCTGCATTTCCTTCACTGTAGTACCTTATTCAGGCAAGCAGACACAACTGTCTGAGAAAAGCCCCTACTACATATTTTACATATATACATATATTTGTGTATGTATGTGCATACATTGGAAAATACATGTTTTGTAAAGAGCATAACTTTCATTGGCATTTGTTCCTTTAATCCATCTGTAAAACTCCCTTCTCATCTCTTGAACTCCCACACGAGGCAGTAGCTGATCAAGTTCATCACGGCCAAAAATGAACAGGCCTCTAGCGAGCTGGGACCACACAACACAGTTCACTCATAAACAGAGATTCTTCATGAAGCTAAATAATTCATTTTGTCCTAGATCCCTTCCCAGAGCTGTTTCCCCCCTAACTAGATCCCAGTCCGAGAAGTATCCTCAGGGGAAATGACCCAAGCTCCAGACATGGTTCACCATCTTTAGCACAATTAAGCAAATGAGCCGCTACCCCATAGCTTCAAAACCCATTCAGCTGATAGGAACGGATAGTTCCCTAGAACGGGCTAAGTCCCACCTTCCTTGGTCGGAAGTCAGTCCGAATGGAAATGAAAGGAATTCCAAAAATTTTCATTCCTTTCCACCCAAGGCCTTCTCTGTACCTTTTTCCAATATTTCTCCTGGCATAAAATAAGATGATGTCACCTGCTAACTCTATTCCCCCTGGTAAATCAAGACTTCTCTCCAAATTCAGTTTGCTTCTCGGAAACATGGTTGGTTCCATGACAATCAGAAAAACTACACCCAAAAACCTGTTTTTCTTTTTTCAGTTGGAGAATAAGATGTAGCCATGCATGACAAATGGAGGCAAGTCTAGAAAAAGTGAGTTAGAGGTCATCACCATGGATGCGTCCTGGAAGCTAGAGCAGCTGGTTAACTAAGTGTTTGCCTCAAGGGAAAGAGAATCCACCAGCTGTCCCAGAAATGGTAATGGAAGCACAGGATGAGGATGATGTGGAGGTCTCAGAAAGGAAAGCAAAGAACATAGCTGATGAGTTTGGACTGGCAAAGACAAGTCCTGACAGGCACCACTGCTTATCAGTGGGATTTCATTACCCAGCTTAGTTTTTTATTTCAGAGATGAAACCACCTCTTCTCTATGCTTCAAATATGAATGCTAAGACTCTGAGAGTCAATAAACCTAGTGCTATCATATAGGGAATAGAGGCATTCTCTGTAGAGACACTGCAGTAGCCAGGTAAGAAGGAAGGCTCGGGGTGAATACTAGCTAATGGCAAGCATCCATGGGCTGAGGAAGAGGAAAAGCCACCATGGAGTAGTTCCAAACTTTTGATCTTACCTACTACACTCCCAGGACTGCTGGTCATTGTACCCAGTTAAAATGCACTAGTCTGAAGTAATAATGCATTAGGGCAGAAACAGGAGTAGCGAGAATTATCTTTTCATCTTGATCTGTTTTACTAGCCTTAATAGTCATTGTGTTGGGGGAAAGTGATTCCTCTTAAGCCTTCCAAATCCATTCCATCTTCTCTGTCAAGGTTGTCCAAAGCATTAGCTATAGAACCCTTTCAGTGCTATCCAGTGAGGATGGACGGGTAGAGTAGTCCGAAGTGTTAGAATGAAAATAGCGTCTCCTACTCAAACTGGTCCTCTTCTTAAGCACCAGCGGCAAGCACTAGAGAGCAAGTCTTGCTGGAGGCGCCAGATAGTTAAACTGCCCTGATAGCCAGTCCGTGTGTTTTCATGAAACCCCGGTAGACTGCCCCAAGACTTTGTTATGTGTGGATTTCTTCCATCCTCCAAAGTAAATATGGTCCTGGGGTGGCTCGCTTCTTGACACACTTGATAAGATAGCCCAGCCCCGTCAGCATAAGGTTAGCCGCAGCTGGGGCTTTAAAGGGAATGTTGAACTGTTCATCCAATCTCCACAGCAATCTCAAGCACAGAGATGTAGGTGCCAGCGGCTGCTGCCTCAGGTGGCCACGCTAGTAGGCAGAGCAGAGGACTGTTCTTCAGTCCTCACACCTTTCAGTCCAGGCATGACTTTCTTAACTTAGGAGCTGTCATTCCCAAATTTCACAGGATTCGGGATCTTAGCAAGAGCAAGATCTGACACCCTCCCCCACTTAGGCCTTCGCAATAGCCAACTGTAGAGAACGTCCCAATATCCAAGAATAAAATTGGATGCACCCGTGCAGCTTGCACAGGGAATCTCTTAGCCCTCCGTGTTAGAAAAGTTGGATCTTATATGACCTAGTTTTAGTAGCTGCTACACAAGTCTGCCAGACTTCTACTAGATTTTCCCCAAATAGTTAAGATATTGGCCCCAGGTCCCAGGCAATATTTCCTTTGTGGATAATGCTCACCTTCCTTTGTAGAGGGTAGCTCTCCATATGATGTTACCAAAAGTGAAAGTGTATGTGTGAGAGGTAGAGGGAGAACACAAGCCGCCACAGGTAACTAGAAGAAGTAGTGGTAGGTCAAGCACGTGGAGAAATTAATATTCCTGATTTTGGTTCCTGCCTGCTTCAGGCAAGTCATCACCTCTTTATGCCTCAGCCCCTCTGACTACAATCATACCTACCTCACGGGAATGTTGTGAGGGGTAATAATTTATAGAGTGGTTTGATATCCTAAGGTGGATGGAGCCACATACTCTCAGTGGACATTCTTGTTTGAATTAACAACCTCTTCCTGTGGAGACTGGTCTGAAGTGTACTCCTAAGAGAACCCAACAGGCTCCAAAGAGAATATATTCCTGCTGCCAAGTAATGCTGTCTTACCTAAGATCAGTCAAGATTATATGAAGATTATTTTTAAGTGCCCACATCTGGCTCTTTATTACTTCTCTTCCTACTTGCTAGATGTTGGCTGCTAGATAAGCAATGAGCAAGGCAGCGTTAAGTGCCCTCTACTCTTTCGTCTTCCACTCTTCCTTAAATACACCCTTAAAATGTGCTGAAACCAGTCAGCATTCCCATATTCCAACCTCGGATGCTGTGAGCTCCATTCCACAGGCAGCCCGATACTGTGTTAAACATATGTTCTCTCCACCTCAGTGTTCTCACGGGGGAATCAAGGGAAATGTTATTGAGGAGTGTAATTATTGCCCTCTATGACATCATCAACAATGAATCCTACTGAGCAGAATCTAAGAGGGCGAGGCCTCAGGACCAACAAGGAATGTGGGACTTCTTAGTGACTGGCACTTTGGATGGTCAAGAGAGATGAGCATGCGTTTGGTGGTGCCTTGTTGAGTAGGAGAACACCTAGACTCTACCTTCCTGTAACTTGGGGAAATTCACTAGTATTTTCAGCTAATGTTAGTCATGCCCTAGGAGTCTGTCCTCCACAAAGATAAGGAAAAACTTTTAACTGCCTTGATTTCCATGTTCTAAGAGGCTTCTTGTCTGAAGAAGTAATTATTCACATACACACACTTTTTTTAAAAAAATTACCCCTCATCAGCCTCACTTTGGAACACAGGATAAGATTTCTGGAGCAAAGAATAAAGGGGTTAGACTACTTTAAGAAATTCCACTTTGTGTTTCATGCTATTTATTCAAAGCTAGGGAATGGTCTATAGATACGGCAGTCCTAAGTTCTTTGTGGTTCTGATCACAGTGTTGTGCAGTTAGTAGACCTTAGTGAAGTACTGGGTGCCTGATCTATTACACTTGTGAACTATGGGAATATCCCTCACCTTTTCCCTTCAATATCAAGAGAGTAATATCAAGCATTCTGCCAGCCTGTACTGCATGATGTGGGTCACTACTGGTTCCAAGTTTACATAAAACTCTGAGGGATCAGAAAGGGGGGAACACTACCCAGCTCTCATCTGGCATAGGTTAGAAGTCGGCCAAGCCCTCAACACAGGGATGGACAAGAAGAGATACAACTCCTCTGTCCAAATTGAAAATGGTTCCCTCCATTCCTAGATGGTATGAGAAGCAGCACAGGACCGTACAGAAACTCTCCAACGGGAATTCACAGAGAATTAGCTATTGGAAAAGAAAGCTTTTTAAGACTCTAGATGGAAAAGATGGAAAGAATGCCAGATTGGAATGGCATTGCAGGAATTTTAAATAATACACACACATACACACCAAATACACTCTAAATGAAGGGATTTGCCTCTTGCACCTTCTTCAAGGGTAGGAGAATTCTGATATTCAGACTGTTAAAAGATAGCTTGTGTATGGAGTATAACAGTAAAGAGTATCTTCTGTGTAGAAATAAACATTTTCTTCAGTTTGGTTTTGGTGTACATGTTTATGCCCTTCAAATGGCCAGCAGCTAAAATAAAGTCTTGTTATTTTTTTCTTCTGCGTGATACAAACTGATTTTGTCTCAAGCAAACAAATTCCTGCCTGCCGTGGGCTCCAACTTAGGGTGGCTATGTTTTTCAGTGGTGGACTAGCCCATGTGATCAGAAATCTATATGCAGTCCCTATAGATATAAGCAGTTACACTGAGTGTCAATTACAATCATTAATCCAAGGTAACATGATACTTGGCAATACCCAATTGCATGATGGTAGTGATTGTAAGTGATGGTGGTCAGACCCCACCAAATGTACTAGATTAGATTAAAAAAAAATGAGAGGGGGCAGCTAGGTGGCGCAGTGGATAGAGCACTGGCCCTGGAGTCAGGAGGACCTGAGTTCAAATCCAGCTTCAGACACATAATACTTCCTACTGTGTGACTTTGGGCAAGTCACTTAACCCCAATTGCCTCACTTTAAAAAAAAAATGAGGATGAGGGAGGGAGTGTGCAAGGTAGCCCAAAAACAAGACAAAAAAATGGAGAAGTGAACCTGGAGGTTCCTGTAGAAGGATGATCCCTAAAGCAATAAGGTCAAATTCATGAAATTCCCACAACTGAGGCTAATGAAAGCTATATGGCAAGAGGTAACAGCTTTGGGAGGGATACAAAGGTGTGTAACTGCTTGGTTCTCTTGTAACTCCGTGGCTCTCAGACATTTTCACCTTTTTGATACATATACCTCTCCACACAAGAGTTGCCAAAACCCTTCATTTCCACGGTTCTTATCACCTTTCCCCCCGAAACCAAACTTTGGAAGGCTCTGTCATCACCGCCTTTTAAGAAAGCAGTGGTTCCTGCTCTAAACTTCATTTATTTGATGGGCAACAATTCAACGGTGGTTTCCTATGAAAGGATATTGACTTATAAGCAGAGCTTCGATAAACCGATGCAAGCGTCTCCTTTTGGAAATTATCACAGAATCCGTCTTGTAAAAGATATTAAATGTTACTTAAAGCAGAAAAAAAAAGCAGTGGTTCAAGTATTCGTCTTAGCAATGGAGCAGATGTTGAAAGTAGACCAGGGGAAGGGGGACATTAAGATGGAAAAGACCAGATCACGATCAGGTGGCGCACAAGATGCCACCCCCATCAAACAACCCTATAGCTTCAGTCATTTGTATTGTTTTATTAATGCCTCTTGTTTGAACAGTGCTATCCCTTCCCAATAACACTCCTCCAGAGAATCCACTATTGCAACAAAGAAATTTTGCAGAATAATTTAGTCAAACCTACACGTTCCTGTCTGAGAGCAAGTGCCTTATTTAGCTTCCATAGAATTCAGGTATATGTTAGTGTTTCCTTTTACATTATTGTGGTCATTGTGTATGTTGTTCTTTTTATTCTATTTACTTCACTCTGCATAAATTCATACAAGGCTTCCCAAGCATTTCTTCTTTATAATCATTATTTCTTAACAAAATAATGATCAGTTATGGTCACATATCGTAGTTTGTTCAACCATTCACCATTTGATGGTCATGTACTTTGCCTAGTTTTTTGCTACCATAAAGTATGTGTCTATGAATACTTTGTTATATGGAGGACCTTTATTGCCATCACTGAGGTTTCTTGAGGTATTTTCCCAATAGTCGGATCACTGGGTCAAAGAATATTAATGGTTTTATTTCCCAACAGCTCCACTAATAATTATAATAATTTTATTAATGTTCTCATGTTCTAGTTCCAGTCTTCTTGGTGCCCTCAGAACCCTGCTCCCCAGAGTCAGAAATAGGCATAATTTGAAAAATTCCACACTGACCACCCCTTCCCTCTAAGAAGAGAGGGTTTCAGGAAGGAAGTAGTCAACAGTCTCAGATGTTTCAGAGAGACTGAAGAATTTAAGACCTAAGAAAAGGCCTTGAACTTAGCCACCAATAGGGCAGATGTCAGAAAGGAGATAATACCTAGCCTGACAGAGCATTTACATTTACTGCAAGTAAGGCCTTTCTGAAACATATCTTGCAATGTTCTGAGTGGAAAACACTTAATAAATGTGAAAATGATGACTTATTCAACAACACTGAAATTGACAAATCCAGGAGCATGGCAGCTGGAGCCCATAAGCCAAAGCCTGAGCAGTTCCACATGTCACTCTTTCTTAGTTTCGGTGAGAATGAAAAGGAGTAAATAAAATCTCCCTTAGGATACCTTCTAGGAAGAACAGAAGGCAAGGGCCTTCCTTCTCTTGGCTGAGAAAGTGGAGAAGGTGAAATACAGTTCCATTAAATTGCACTAGAGGGCAACTGTGTCCACCCAGTAAGATTCCCTTCTCTGGCCAGAATTCCATCACTGTGAGTCTCTCTGCTACTGGCTTAGAGCAGGGCTTCTTAATCTTTTCTGTGTGTATGTGTCATTTTGGGGTTGTTGGCAGCCTAATGAAGCCTATGGATCTCTTTTCAGAATGTTTTAAATGTGTAAAGTAAAATACATAGGATTGCAAAGGAAATCAATTATGTAGTAATGCAATTATCAAAATATTAAATAAGTTAAAAACCTCTAGGAGAAAGAGATCTGCACCAGGGAAAGTCACCCAGTTCTCCAACCAGATCAATGGATAAGAGGAGCAGAGAAACTGGGATATTAAATCTGAGGCAAAGAGATCTGACATTACCTTCAAGAAGCAGTGCCCCTAAGGGGCAGCTAGGTGGCACAGTGGATAGAGCACCTGCCCTGGAGTCAGGAGGACCTGAGTTCAAATTTGACCTCAGACACATAATACTTCCTAATTGTGTGACTCTGGGCAAATCACTTAACCCCAATTGCCTCAAAAAAAAAAATAATAAATTAAAAATTTTTAAAAGCAGTTCCCCTAGATTTTCCCCCACTATGCCACTAAATAATGCTGTGGAAAACCAAACAGTATCCCCAGGAACCTGAGCAGAGTAGGCAGCCTAAGAGATACTACCTGATGAAAGGCAGGACTTGAATTCAGATCTTCCTGACTCATGAGTCCAGTGCGCTATCCATTTTACCACCTAGCTGCTTCTCAAGCTGATATTCTATCTTATTAAATTATCATTTCAGCCTTCAAAAGGTGAAGGAAACATAAAGGTGAAATGCTATTCTGAACCTGATTGGTACAAAAAAGAAAAAATTGGTCACTGAAGTGGAAATGAGGAGCACCTTGAGAAGCCACAATCACTTTGTGATAGAGAAGTAAAAGAAATCTTGGTATAATCTGTCATGACATACACCATATATTTTGAAAAACCAGAAAAAAAGATCAGCTCCAATGCACAAAATCCTATAAGGGAAGACAACCCCGCAGTAATGGTAAATTCTCAAGAACAAAATTCTGAAGGAGCAAAGATAAGCTATTCTAATGAGGACGAAAGTTGTCTAAAGAGATCAGTGTAGATGCAGAAACTCATCAACCAGTTTAAATTTTTAAAAGGTCCAGAGGTGGACATAAGACAGACAAAAGAGGATGAATTGTTGTTATATCCAACTCTTTGTGACCCCATTTCGGTTTTCTTGGCAAAGATACTGGAGAGGTTTGCCAGTTCCTTCTCCAGTTCATTTTACAGATGAGGAAACTGGGGCCAACAGGGTTAACTGACTTGCCAAGAGTCACAAAACTTGGATTTGAACTCAGAAAGAGGAGTCTTGCGGGGCAGCTAGGTGGCACAGTGGATAGAGCACCAGCCCTGAAGTCGGGAGGACCTGAGTTCAAATCCGGCCTCAGACCAACCACTTGACACTAGCTGTGTGACCCTGGGCAAGTCACTTAACCCCAATTGCCTAAAAGCAAAAAAAAAAAAAAGGAAAGAAAGAGGAGTCTGCCTGACTCCAGGCCTAGCCCCAGCAACTCTATCTACTACACCACCTACCTACCCCAAAAGTGCAGGACAACCTGCAGGAACAGTGTCAGGAGTGCTAAGAAGCTCAGGATGTGCTGAAGCTAAGAGAGAGAGCACAGGATAACGAAACAGGGGAGGTGATTGGGCCATGATGAGGAAAAAGAGGATTAAAAAAAAAATAGAACAGTTCCCCAAGAGGCTTGGGGCAATGTTAACAAAAAGGAGAAGTCAGACAACTCCTGTTTTGTTTCTGTTTTCCCCCTTAGTGATGGTGGCAAAGTAACAGAAAAAGGAACAGAGTAGGCTAAGAATCATAGTTTATAACCTGCCAACAAATTTTAATCTGGCTGTTGGTATTATAATGTGAGATCCTTGTCCACTGATCAATGAGTGGATATTGCTGGAGGAGCCAAATCGTATCATTTTTTTTTTAGGCAATTGGGGTTAAGTGACTTGCCCAGGGTCACACAGCTAGTAAGTGTCAAGTGTTTGATCTGAATCCAGATTTGAACTCAGGTCCTCCCAACTTCAGGGTTGGTGCTCTATCCACTGCGCCACCTAGCTGCCCCTGTATCATTTTTTTAAAGAAGGAGAAGGAGAAGGAAGTTATAGCTGATCCTTCACAGGTACTCTTTCAATAGGCAAAGAAAGGAGTTGGCAGAGTGCATTTCATCATGCACCCAAAAGATACAAGAGATGTTATTTCATAAGACATTTGGTCATCACTTATTGCACTACTAATATTAAGTATTTGCACAAAGATCACCATGAAAATAATTGCAGCTTATACACCAGCATTAGTTGCTGAGGACAAAGAAATAGAGAAATTCTAGGAAGAACTTATTAAGATTCCCATATCAAATCTACATACATTCTGATACCTACATGGTGACTTCCATGAAAATTTGGGGAAAGGAAAGGATGGGAAAATATGGGGAGAAAAATTAGGGGGAAGAAATGAGAGAGGCCAAAGATTTGTAGATTATACAGGTGTATCACAACTCCCCATTACACATTCTTCAAAAAAATCATTAGTAGGCACTGTACATGGTGAGAAACAAACTAGCCGTGTTTTAACAGATAGAAAAGGTACTACTGATGTGGGGGTCATTCATGAGTTGGTTGTCTGTGTGGTCAGAAAGGCAAGCTGTCAAATCTAAGATTGGAATTTATTAATACACAAAAAAAAATAGT